GAGCGGCGGCGGACGCGATGCTCATGATCCAGCCCACCCTCTACGCCTTCACCTTCAACGGGCCCCCCGAGCCCGTGCTGCTCGACGTCTCCTCCATCACCCCCGACCGCATCCTGCTCCTGGACGCCTACTTCTACGTGGTCGTCTTCCACGGCTCCACGGTGGCGCAGTGGCGCAAGGCGGGGTACCAGGAGCAGGCGGAGCACGCGGCGTTCAAGGCGCTGCTGGCGGCGCCGCAGGACGAGGCCCACGCCATCATCTCCCGCCGCTTCCCCACCCCCCGCTTCACCGACTGCGACCAGAACGGCTCCCAGGCCCGCTTCCTGCTGGCCAAGCTGAACCCGTCGGCCACCTACAACACCAGCAGCGCGCTGTCCAGCGAGATCATCATGACCGACGACGTCAGCTTGCAGGTCTTCACAGACCACCTCAAGAAGCTGGCGGTGCAGAGCTGACAGGAGGAGCAGCGCGCGGCGGAACAAGCGGCCGAGCTGGTGTGGCTGCTGTAGCCACGCCCCGCGCCAGCCGCGCCCGGCGGGGCGGCTGGCACGGCCGCCGGGGCGGGCATGGGGCGCGGCTGGGCGGGGCGCGGCTGGCTGGGCGCGCGTGCAAGGCAGCGTCGCCTTGCACCGCCCACAGCCCTGTTGCCTGCCCGGCCCCAGGCCGCCTGCCCCGGCGGCGGGCCGCTGCTGCGCGCTGCGCTGCCTCAAAGAGAACAACATCTGACCGGCGGGCGAGGGGGGCGTGCACACAGGCTGCGTTGCAGCATGCGCCGCCACCTCCACGCCACTTCGCCCCGAAATGCACCCGACACCCTCGTCTTGCTCTGAACTCTGCTCTCCTGCTGTCGCTTGTCCTTCACCTGTACTCCCCAATTGCAGCCTCTTCTGAAATGTTTTTGTTTGTTTGTTGGCGCCTCTGCTACCGTTTGTAAGCACTTGCCAGCGCGGCGGCACGCTGTACCGCGGGCGGCGGGACAGCGTGGCCAAATGCCCTGCCATCTGCATCTCTCCACGCTGTTTCTGGGCCCAGAGCGACACCCGACGTGTCAACATGGCGCAGCAGCTGTCAGACGAGCAGGGTAGGCGCTGTGGGGTTGTGCAGCGGCTGCGGGCGCGCCAGTGGGGCTGTCCTGGTGCCTCCACCCGCCGGTTCACCCTCCTCTATCAAGAGGAGGTTGCAGCTCACGCTTCAACCTCCTCTGATGCCTGCAGTCGCGGAATTCAAGGAAGCTTTTTCCCTGTTCGGTAAGCCCGAATCCCGCCCTGCGCCCCCTGGCTGCGCAGCACACGCTGGGGGGTGATCCACCGCCTCCACCCTGCGCACCCGCGCTGCGCAACACAAACCTGCGGGGATGATCCTGCGCCCCTGGCTGCTCGCTCCCTGCTGGTGGCTCACCCCCTGCCCTGCTACGACCCTGCTGCAGACAAGGACGGTGAGCTGGAGCTGGCTTCGGCGGTCAGACGGTCGCCGGCGATCGCATATGTTGCAGGGGTTGTCAGCCGCGCCTGAACAGCCCCGCTGACTGCTGCTGCCCCCACTGTCCCCGCTGCCTTGCCGCCCTGCAGGCGATGTGAGTGCCGGGCCCAATCCCCCCGAGCGGGGTGTTGAACGCTCCCGGTTGCAGGGGCGCTCAGTGGTGCCGCCTCGCATGCCTGAGGCGGCATGGCGCCCAGCTGGGGAGGCCGCCGCCGAGCCGCGTGCCCTGCCTGCCTCCCTCCCCCGCCGCCGCACCTGCAGGGCACCATCACCACCAAGGAGCTGGGCACCGTGATGCGGTCGCTGGGCCAGAACCCCACCGAGGCGGAGCTGCAGGACATGATCAATGAGGTGGATGCGGACGGCAATGGAACCATCGACTTCCCAGAGTTCATCCAGCTCATGGCCCGCAAGATGAAGGTGCCGGGGGGACCCTGCTTGGGGGGGAAAGCTTGCGAGCACTGGCGCCAGTCGCGCGGGGGCTACAGCAGCACCGCGATCACGGTTCCCAGATGCTCTGGGTGCAAGGCCGGCGCAAGCAGCCGCCGTCCCTGGTTTGGCCTCCTGCGTACGTTACCGCTGCTTGTGCCTGCCTGGCTGTGCGCTGCCGCTGCCGCTGCCGCAGGACACCGACAGCGAGGCGGAGCTGATGGAGGCGTTCAAGGTGTTTGACAAGGACGGCAACGGCTTCATTAGCGCGGCAGAGGTGGGAGCAGCGCTGGCGCCAGCAGGGACACATGGATCTGGTGCCACGTGCTGCCGCTCCGTCTGACTTCACCCGCTGGCTGGCTGGCTGGCTGGCTGTGTGTTTGGGCAGCAGCACGGCACGCACCTCCCCTGCTTCACCCGCTGCCCGCCCTGCCTCCCCCCACCCCGCCCCGTCCTGCTGCAGCTGCGGCACGTGATGACCAACTTGGGCGAGAAGCTGACTGAAGAGGAGGTGGATGAGATGATTCGGGAGGCAGACACCGACGGCGACGGCCAGGTGGACTACAACGAGTTTGTCAAGATGGTGAGGGGGCTGCCGGGGGCGGACGCTTGCGCCCCGCTGGCACCAGGCCGGGGTCCACGGAGCAGGGGGCTGTCGCCCTCGGCACCTGCCGCTTGCCGGCGCCCACTGCTGCCTCATGGCCGGCGTGCTGGGGGCTGGGAGCTGCTTGCAAGGCAGCAACGGGGTTGCGGGGGTTGCTTACATGGCTGCGGGCGCGTGCTGAAGCTACTGGGAATGGCTGCCCCTGCTGCTGCAGATGCTGTCCAAGTGAACGGCTGGCAACCCTCCCTCCCGTGCACCGATGCGCCGCATACATGGCGCTGGCAAGCCGGCCCGCCTGGACCCTTTTCAACGCTCTAGCCCCAATCAGCTTACTCTGTGCTACGCCTCTCTGACCTATGTGTAACTATGCGCCAAGAACATGCAGCATGGGAGGGGAGTGCATGAGCGGAATGTGCGGCCGTACCGCAGTCATCTCTGCTGAGCCGCAGCAAACGAGCTCGAGTTGTGGTGTTCCCCTCCTGCTTGCCTCCATCGTCCCGCTGCCTCCCAATTGTCGTTGCCAGTCTGGGTTTCGAGCATCTGGAGAGTGGGCCGCGAGCGTCTAGCTGCCAAGCGCCGCCCCCTGCCTGGCCAATCGTTGCAGTGAGTGGCTGAGATTGGCGCCCCGAGCGGGCGACACGACCTTTGACCGCAGGGGGTTGCTGCCGCCGCCGCCTGGGCCCACCCCCTGACCCTTTGCCCTGCCGGGCCCCTCTTTTCCCCTGCAGCCTAAACCCGCTTGCTGGCCATGAGCGTGGTGCTGGTGTACACGCTGGGAGCCACAGCGCTGCAGAAGTTCAATCCAGGCTCGGGCCGCATGGAGCTGCAGCTGTCGCCCGGGGAGCTGCTGGCCAGCGCCGCCGTGCCGCAGGGCATCGAGGCCCGCATCGACCGAGCCTTCCCCTTCAGGTGCATCCAGCGGTGGCCATGTCATGTGCTGCCCATGACGATTGTGGATTCCGCTTGCGATGCTGAGGAGAGGCCCTGGGGGAGGCGGCTTGCCAGCGCAGGTCTGGCGCCGAGCTGACGTATGAGGTGCTGCTGGAAGTGGCGGCGGTCATCTCAGCCTCATGCCGGCAGGACCCCACCGTCAACGGCTGTGTCCTGCTGTGCGGCACCGACACGTGAGCAGGGGGGCAGCATGGGCGGGCCGGGGCCATGGGGGAGCAGGAGGAGGCGGGGACAGGGAGGTGGCAGGTGAAGGCAGGTTGCCATGGCGCCTGTGTGCCTCCAGGCATCCGCCACCGCCTCCCCAGTGGCCCTGCACCCCGCTTCCTGCAGGCTAGAGGAGGCGGCCTTTGCGCTGCAGCTGATGCTGGGCACCGCGCTGCGGCGCACCCACCACGCGCTCATCGTCACGGGAGCCATGCTGCCCGCAGACCAGCCCTCCAGCGACGGGCCGCGCAACCTGCGGGACGCCATCACCGTGAGCACCCGCCTGGCATGCCATGCCATGCCCCGGCTGACCAGGCATGCCCCCCGGCCTCCACCTGGCCTCACCTTGACCTGCCCCTGCCTCCACGCCGTGGCCCACGCCGCAGGTGGCGGCGCACCCCGCCACCGCCACGCTGCCTGGCGGGGTGCTGGTGGTGATGAACGACAGCATCCACCTGGCCAGCTACGTGTGCAAGGCGGACAGCCAGCTGGTGGGCGCCTTCCGCTCCCACCCGGGCCCCATCGGCCAGCTGCGCGGCGGCGCGCCCGTCTACTACTTCTCCCCGCCGCCCGCGGTGGGCCCCAACTGGCTGGCGGACGAGGCGTTTGGGCAGCTGGCGGCGGCCGCGCTGCGCATGCGGGTGGCCGTCTGGACGCTGGGCGTGTCTGGCTTCCTGCCAGACAGCCTGCTGCACGAGCTGGACGGCCTCGTACTGGCGGGCAGCGGCACAGGCAGCCTGCCCGCCGCCCTGGTGGAGCAGCTGGCTCCGGCGTGGACGTCGCGGTGAGAACCCGTGGCGCGCTGGCAGCCCTGCAGATGCCGTGCTGCTTGCCGTGCCAGGCTGGCTGGCAGGCATGCAGATGCACAGCCCGCTGCTTCAGCAGTCGTGCGTGCACTCCACCCCGTCCGCCGTCCATGCTGGCTGTTGACCCTGCGCCGCCCTGCTCTGCGTGCCCCTGCCTGCAGCCTGCCCATCGTCATCTGCAGCCGCTGCCCAGTGGGGCAGAACCATGACGACTGCCACTACAGGGGCAGCAGGCACAAGTATGAGGGCAGGGGGTTCATCCTGGACCGCGGCTACACCAACCTCAACCCCCTGCAGGCCCGCACGCTGCTGGTGCTGCGGCTGTCGGCGTTCGGCACAGCCTGACGCCGGCTGCGCCCTTGACGCGCTTGTTCCCGATTCACTGCCACTTGGCCTGTGTGCATTGCATTCACATTTAATTCTGTCGCAGCGCTGGCTATGGTAGCAGCGAGGCAAACAGTGTCCAATGCTTCTAGTATTCGCGGCAGCGGAGACGCCAGGCATTAGTAGCAGTGCGGTGCGGTGTGCGTGGTGGGGGACATTTGTTCGGGGGGTGCTCTGAATGGGAACTGAACACTGATGGACTGATGAGATGGGATGGGGAATGGGGAGGATTCGGTTGTTGGCATTGCATCAACGACGGACGAACGAAATACAGGGGCGTGCGTTTTGTGGGGGAAACATGGCAGCAGATTGCATGTTGGAGGTGTGACATTTGGGGGGATATCAGTGATGGATTGGGATGGGTTGGAACAAGGCAGCGGTGCGTGGCGCTGGCCGCCACGGCGAGACATAAAAAAACTTCAGGGGTGGGAGGGGGTACAGGCCTCGGCAGCACAGAACACACCACATTGCTGGGAACAGGTTTGTTTCCTGTGTGAGGGGTGGCAGGGGCAAGGACCGCGCCTGTCGGCGCGGGGCCGCTCACTGCCCCCGCTGCCAGGGGCGCAGCGCTGCCCCGACAGGCACCAGCGCCCGCTCGCGCGGCACCTTGCCGCCGCTGCTGCCGCGTGCGCCGTAGCTCCCCTCCTTGCGCTGCCGGGCGCGCCGCCGGCGGCCGACCTTGTGGTAGCCAGAGTACTCGTCGTCTGGCAGGAGGAGGGGAGGGGGGACAGCAGGGAGGCATGCTGGGAGGGAGGCAGGCAGCTGTGGGCGCTGCGCGCTGGTCTGGTACGGCATGCAGGTTGGGTCCCAAGCCCCAGCGCTTGCGCCATGGTCGCTCCCCCCCAAGCCCCAGCGCCCAAGCATTGCCAGCACCCACCTGAGCTGTAGCTGCCAAACACGGCCTCGTTCATGGCGCTCGCGGCGGCGGCCCCCATGTTGCTGACTGCAGCACGCGGCGAGGCACACACAATCCCGCGGCCAGGGCTCAGCAACCCAGCGCAGCGCTGGCGGCTGGAGCAGGCAGTCCAGTCCGATCCAAAACGACCCCAGCTGGCGGGGCATGGCTGGGTCAGTCCTTGGTTTCCGCCCTCCTCCAAAACTCACTCCCAAACTTGGCCGCAAAGGTGCCGAACCATCCGTCCTGGCGAGACATGATTGCCTCGGCGGCCTGCTTGCGCGCCGCCTCCTGCGCCGCAGAATACTTGGCCGCCCGCGCCCGCGCCTCCTCCCTGCGGCCGACAACGACAAGGGCGCGGCACGGCGAGCGGCGGCTGGCGTTCAGAGGGTGGGGTCTCTCCCAGCAGGGACCCTCTCCCACCAGGGCCCCTGCTGCAGGCTGCTGCGCTGCTGGTGCCACGTGGCCTGCAAAGCGTGGCGGGCGCCCTCACTTGTTCTTGCGCTCCTTCAGGTACTTGGTGGTGGCGGCCCACACATCAGGCACAAAGCCCTGCTGCGACATCATGGCGGCCACGTTGGGGCGCTTGACCTGCGGGCGGCGGCAGCGCGCGGCAGCGCGGCAGCGCAGGCAGGGGGGCGAGAGGCTGGGTGCGGCGTGCCCGGCAGCCTGCCATGGGCTCCCTCCCTCCTTCCTGCCGACACACCCCACCCGTCGCAACCCACCCCTGCCCGTTTGGGGCCTCACCGCCGGGCAAGCAGAGCAGCAGTGACACGCCAGCAACACGCCAGCGACGCCGCCCCCCCCTCC